GGCCCAAAGCAGCTTCCCCAAGACCCAATTGGTCATCCCATCATGCATCTGTCTGGTATTAACCATGCCACGGGTGAAGCCATCTACTGTGACGACATGCCGGCGGTGGACCGGGAACTTTTCTTGAGTTTCGTAACGAGTTCAAGAGCTCATGCTAAGATTGTGTAAGTGATGCAGTTCTTACAATAGACGTTAATGATTGCCCTTTTGTCTAAGTCACGTTAGTGAAGAGTAGTGGGATGAAGAGGATAAACTGTTTGTTGGTGATATCCAATGCAGATTAGAGGTGAAATGGGATCGAAATGTAGGCTTTACTACAATGTGTCCCTCCATATGATAACTTCATCGTCTCAGGAATTTTTCCCAATTGTCTGGCAGAAAACTGTCGTGAAGGGTTCTTAGACGCATCTTACCTCTCTCATGTCTGATTCTCCAATGAAGCACGTGCTCCGGGGTCTTCGGCTGCGGGGCTGCTCTGAGGAGCCCTGCTCTGTGTTCTCCTCTAGGTCTCTTGATCTGTCAGAAGTGCTCAGCCTGCCGGGCGTGGTGGACATCGTGACTGAGGAACATCTTCGCGGTGTAAACTCCTTCTGCTTTTTAACTACACCTGAGAAACTTCTGGAGACAGAGGAGGTACTGCATTTTTGTTTCTGTTTCAAAAATAACTTGCCCTATTAAAGGCACTTCATCTTTTCTTAAAGAGAGCATCACATTTGGCACATCATCAAGGATTCCAGTATTCTTTGAGTGCTTATCATAAAACACTATATTCTAATGTTGAGTGAATACAAAGATATTCATTTTCCACCTAAGAAGTTGACTAGTTATATAACAGACACTTTGATGTTTTATCTCTAGCAGTAAGATGGTGTGCTGCTAACAAGGATGAATGGATAAGTGAGGAGAGAGTACCGATAACTTTTATTTGCTAATCCCTCCCATGAGAGTCTCTCACCACTGCCCCAGTCTCAGTGTGTCCAAGTCCCAGGTCCAAAGTCAAGCGGCATCTCCACATGAAGCCTTTCCTTTAACCCCGGAATTCTCCCTCCCTCTCTGGACGCCCTGACTCTTTCATCCATAGGGCCATGTATCCAGCAGGCATTGTTAAAGTGAGCACCTACTATGGCTGGTCACTGTAGCTGAATGAGACCCATGTGGTCCTTGCCCTCACAGAGCTTAAAGTCTAAAGGGGAAGGCAAAGTGGACCTTTAATGCACATTCTACCCTGTGTGAAGCTACATGTTTATTCCTGTGTCTTATATGTTTCCCCACCTTCAGCTTCCTTGAGTGCGGGCCCGTGTCTGATTCATTGGTATGTTCCACACACTGCTTCCCACATTGCACGGTCGAGGGGTAGATGAGAGAGGAACAATGATAGCATTGTTGCCATTTGGAAGTTTCACATGACTGAGACTTTGGCTATTGTGTCTTAAGATATCAGAAAATGCGGCAAGAACGGTTCAGCAGGTGTTCTGCGTAACTCAGACCTCTCAGTTCAATGTGTACCCACAAGAGCTATCATTTGAAACAGTCCCTACCTCTGGCTCTTGCTGGCAGACTTAGTTGATAGAAATGAAAGTTTGATGACTGAGAGGATGAAGTCAAGGTTGAAACTCCCCCGAGGCAGGGCCGTGTGGCACTGGCAGAAGACAATGAGAATTCAGTTAACCAAACAAGCAAACCATTCCAGGTCGCACGACAGTACCTGCTCTCTGAGGTGTGTGTACATTCATTCTGAGCATCTCAGGGCCTGTCTGTGTGCCAGGTCACAGGGGCAAACCCTGAGAGCAGGAACAGAGCCCTTGTGCATGATTGCCTTTGTTAGTTTAGTTCCCTTTTAACATGTGTCTATAGCACGTTATGCCTTTTAAAAATCTTTTCCTTTGTAGAAATTTTAAGCATACACAAAGATAGAGAAGAAAAATACAATGAATCTCCATAGACCCATCTCCTAGCTTCAACAATTATGGACATTTTGCCGTTCTTGTTCATTTATCTCCCACTGCTCTCACACACCCACACACAGCAAACACACTTGTGAGTGTGCGCTGGATTTAACTTTTTTTACTACCATTTTTTAAGAGGATAAAACTACTGTATGCTCATTGTAGAAAAGACCTGATAGTCTAAAGTAGATTTACAAAATGAGTGATGAAATTTGAATCGTGATCATGGGATAAGGTGGGAGAGAGACTACACAGTCATGGTGACTTCTTCCAGGCCTGACTGTTTTCCCTTTCTAGAGCCTTCGTTCTGTTTTTTCCCGTCAACTTTCGGCCCTGGTCCCCGTGTGAGCTCCGTGACGCCCCCCTCACCCCAGGTGACATGCTGCAGGGGATGCTGTGTGTGTGGTCACGTCTTGGCTGCTGCCGTCTCCTGTCTCTTCTGAGCAGCACGGGCTGCAGCACAGTCTGGGGCAGAGCGGGGCTCACCAGCAGTGCTGGGTTGTCACTCTCTCCCTCCCTTCTCTCTGGAGGAGTTGGGCTGTGACGTCCTGGTCCTCCGTGTCCATGAGGGCAGAAGCTGCCGCTCAGAGTGGCCCTGCTCGTGGAGTGGCAGCCCCAGGTCAAGCCGAGGGACTGGCTCTCTTGGGCCAGTGGCCCTCAGCTGTCCCGACTGCTCGACCTGGAGCCTGAGTCTGCTGTGCTTCAGGTAGCATCACTCCTGCCCCTCTCAGCCACCGCTGCCACGCAGAGACATGAGCTCCCAGTGCCTGGGGTCAGCGCCCTCTCCGGCCGAGGCCTGTGTGAACCTGGGCGCCGTGGGCACAGGCCCGTGTGAAGAGTCGTTGACTGCGCGTCTAGCCCTGTGCTGAGCGGGAGGAAGGAGAGGACCTGGTGCCCATCCTCCTGAGAACAAGGTCTTGCTGTGTCGCAGGTGTCCTGTGTGGGTCAGCTCGTCTGTGCCGTGATTGCCGATTCCGAGGTTCAGGCAAAGCGAGCCGCGAAGCGAGTGAAGATTGTCTACCAAGACTTGGAGCCGCTGATCCTAACTATCGAGGTGACCAGTTCAAGGGTGGGGCCGGAAGAGCAGATTTCAGTGGTGCATCGGTTAAAATGCGTTTGCTGCAGTAACAGGAAAGAAAACCTGACTCCAAGTGGCTTCCAAAACACAGGGGCTTTATGGGCCCCAAACTCTATCAGTGTTAGCAAGAAACCCCATTTTCTGCCTCTCCTCCCTGCTGCCCACGGTACAGGCTTTATCCCCTGTGGTCACAGGATGGCAGCCAGGAGCTTCCAGTTCATGTGC